TCGGGACTGAAATGGGGATGGAGATGGGGATGGAGACCGAGACCGGTCCCGAGATCGGGATTGAGAATGGGAGCGGGTTCAGGACCAGGAGAGGGAGCGGGAGCGGGACTGGGACCGGGATCGGGATGGGGATCAGGACTGAGACCGGGGTGAGGATCGAGACCAGGAGCGGGACTGGGACTGGGAGCTGGATCAGAGCAGGAGCGGGAACGGGACCGGGGCCGGAACTGGGATGGGGATCAGGATCGGAACTGGGGTGGGGATCAGGATTGGGAAAGGGATCAGGACCGGGGGCGGAGCCGCAGGATGACCCAGGATCAGCCCGTGTGAGCCGGACCCGACGAGGCACAGGAGCGGTGCCGCTCCGAGCGTCCCGGCACTGGCACGGAGGAGTCTCCAGTCGCAGCAGAGCGATGCGGGGACAGAACAAGTTTCACGCTGTCCGAGTGGGAGGAGGCTCCAAGGAGCCTTGTAAGCTCATGGAGGGCAGCAGGTGCCTTCCTATTGCTGTTAGTAAGTTGTGCGGGGCAGAGATGATTTCTTCTTTGCACCTCTGTCGGAAGTGGGCTTTAGTTAATTAAATTAGAGAAGGTTTGGCTGGGCTCTCAGGCTAGGTATGTGCCCTCACTGGAGTGCTGCTCAGGCATGGGGTACCAGTGTGGAATATTCAGCCCTAGAAAGGGATGGACCTGAGGTGCACTCTGCCTGCGAGTGCTCTGTGTGCAGGGGGTGGATGCAGAGGCACCCAGGACAGGCTGCAGAGTCCCACAGCACTCACCTGTTGGGCCTGGTGAGCCCAGGTTTTGGTGGCCCAGCCTTCACCCCTCTGCTCAGTCCTTGCAGGGCTGCAGGACAAGGGACCATGGTGGGGAGATGCAAGTCCCCTTTGCTGCCCTTGATGGTTCCATTCCAGTCAGGTCACCCAAAAACCAGATCCTCCTTTGGGAAGCATCAGATGTGCTTTTCCATTTGGGCAAGAGGAGTTGACAATGCAAAGATCCTATTAATTTCCAGCCCCTGGTGAGAGCCGCTGGGCTGAGCAGAGTGGGTGGAGTTTTGTCAGAAGTAAATCTGTCTCCCCTGTGCACGGCCCTTATTTATCAGTCTAACAGATGCTCCTCTGGCAGGTAAAGCAGCTTTCCAATGTGTTTTGTTTGCATCTGAAATGAGCAGGTTTCATAAGCTCAGGTATCAGGAACACCTCCCCAGGGGCTGCCTTCCAGCACCACGAGGCTGGATCTGCCTCCCCAGCCACATGAAGTGTCTGGGAAGTGGGTGTACCAAGGACCAGGGGACAATAAGGATGGCTACAGGGAGTAGAGCTGCTGAAAGAAGTGTTTCAGAGCATGAATTCTCTGCTTGGAAAATGGGACTCATTTCAGTACTGAAAATATTCACAAAGGAGATCCTGTTCCAGAGCGTGCTTGTGTGGGACACAGTTCTGCACTGGGTGAGCACAGGGACATTTCACAGTTAAGGGGTGTCAGGCTCAGCCCAGAGCTCATCTCTGAGCTGCAGTTATGTGACAGACCTCTGCCCCCTTCAGCAGAGTGTTTCAGGGCCTGATTTGCACTGGAGCCAGCAAGCAATGGCAGAGGTAACAGATGTGTGACAGGGCACAGGGTGATCAGTCAGAGTGGTAGAGCATCACTTCCTGGAGCAATTGTTGTATCTCATCTTCTGTAGACGTTTTAAGAGGCAGAGTGAATAATTTCACACCAGTGCTGTGTAGTGAGGGAAATGACCCTGTTCCCCTCACTGCCAACGCAGGGAGTGGTGAAGAACCTGGAGCAGCATAAAAAAATATCCTCACTGGGAAAATATTGTGAAGGATAGACACCTGTCACCAGCACTGCAATAACAGCATCCTCTGACCAACAGCTCAGCAGAGCTCAGGTGCCTTGGCAATCCAAGTGTTTGAAGAGTGTTGCAGGAGTTAATTGTTGTCTTTGTCCAGACTTTTGCTCATAGACCAGTATGTTCCAGGTGTTGAGCAAATACTCAACAGCTCCACTCAGGTCCCTGCAGAGCTGTCAGGCATTGTCAGACTTGCACCAACCTCATGCCAGCTGATTGGGGTCACCCAGTCACAGTGCTGGTCCAAGAGTGGGAATCCCACTGTTGACATTGGAATGAATCAATGCCTTGGTGAAACTCTTTGTCAGTTTCAAGCAGCAAACAAAATATTTGGTCAAGAAGAGCTAATGGACAAGTAGCTGCTTCTAGGAATTATTAGTGTTTTGGTGTGCTTTGAAATGTTCTTAATTTGAAATACTGAGAACTGCATGAAAAACTACTGCTTTGTCTTCAACTGGAAGCTGGGATTATTTCTGACTATGCCAAACTACCCTTTAGGCAAACTTTGTCAGGACTTGGGCAGTATAAGACCACAGCTGTCTTGGTGGTGTCTCATGTGAGTTCTTGTGGCAAGGCTGCACAGCAACCCTGGCAAACTATCATGTGGAGCAGAAGTGACAAAGAGCTGTTGTCACTGTGAATTCAACACCACGGGCCAAGCTCTGCCCAGCCAAGGGGAAAGTTTTCTGCTCCCTCAGAGCAGCGAGAAACTGTGTCAGAAATTCCAGCTGATCTGAGCACAGGAAGCCATCAGATCTGCTGGGGTCTGAGAAATCTGCTTGGGAGGGACTGGTGTGGGAGCTCCCACTGGCCACAGGAATTTGTAAAGTCCAAGATTGCTCCTGGGAATGCACACACACACACATGTGTAAGAAATCTGTGGATGTGCCAACTGCAGGTGAGTGAGGCCTTTGTTTGGGGTTGCAGGAAAGATTTCTTTCTTTGTATTAAAGCGAAAATTATCTAACAAGTGACTTAACAAGAATGATAGAAGGATTTAAGCACAGAGGGGTTTGAGTGCATGCAGGACAGCTGTCAAGTTTAGAGAGGGGATTAGCAGTTCATTTGAGAGATACATTAGGAAAAGGCTTACTCTGGGGGGCTGTGAGCTCCCCTGAGGCTGGGGAGGATTTACTGTCTGTAAGTGTTGATGTATTGTGCACGTTATGAAGCTTGCCATCCCAGCAGCTTTGATATGTTCCAGCTTTTCTTTAAAACCCCTGTGGATTTTAAAGTGGCTTTCATTTAACGTGGGAGATGTTGACAAGCTCCCCCAGGAGGCTGGCAAGTTCTCAGAAGGGTCTTTTAAAATATTAGCTTCACCACCACTTCTAGAAGACTTCCCCCCCCCCCCCCCTTTGGAATATCAAGGAGTGGTTTGTTTCTGACAGCACTAAAAATACATGAGGTGTCTGCTGACACAGGGAAGATATGCCCTGTGCTGCTTGGACTCCCAGCCTGGTGTTCAGGAATCCTATCTGAAGCTCTTGGCTTAACAGATGATGCTTGTGTTTGGAAAGCTGTAGTTTATAGCACAGAGCAGTCCTGTTCAGAAGATTGGAAGCAGCTGGTGAGACTGACATGGGTGA